CTACCGTGGAATTGGGGCAACTCTATATCTAGCAACCATACACCGAAGAAAAAGGGCAGGAAGAGAGCTGTGAAATCGGAGAAATTTGAGCTGAAACCAGGTGAGGTTTATTCAGAAAAATCTGAAGGAAATTCTTGTTGATAGCTGTCAATTAGGTCAAGATGCTTGCGCTGTATGTTATCCAGGCCTCGTCAATATCTCGGGTACATATTGCTTCATGAACTCGACGGTGCAGGTATTATGAAGAATTCATGTGGCGAATCTTTGTACTGAAGCTCCGTTAGGCACTATCCTCGCTGTCATATCTTCAGCCACACATAGAAGCTATTCATTCTAAAGCTGAAGCCTTGGATGTTCCTTCGCCAATAATCGATGCACTTAGAGACTTATTTCATGCATTGAACGACCCACGCTCAAGACCTTCGTCCATTCGCCCCTTAGAGCTCATTTCCGTACTCTCTTCAGCAGGCCGTGCCAATTCGTTATTCAATTCTCGTGAACATCAAGATGCCCAGGAACTTTTCCAGCTTCTCTCGGAATGCATTAAATCTGAAATTGCTGCTATCGACAAAGAAAGCGCTAGAGATCGAGGTCTCGGTGGCCTATCGCAGGAGGTCGAAACTAAGATTGGAAAAAGTGTATTCGATGGCCTCACTGCTAATCGAAGGAGCTGCGTTGTCTGCGGGTACACCGAAGCTGTCATGCATTTCCCCTTTGATAATTGGCAGCTAGCGGTACCACCAATGACGGTGAGTCTTTCAATCGGAATTGAATACTTTCAGCTTATCATCCACTTATACGTTGCTCCAGTCCACATGTTTATTGGAGGATTGTCTTTCCGACTACACCCGACTGGAGGTTCTGAAGGATTGTATTTGCCGGAAATGCTCCATGACGGCTACTCATCGGAGGCTGAAGCAGGAGATCCAAATCCTTTCACAGGTTGAAAATCCGTCCGCATCGAAGAAGAGGAGGCTCAAGGATGTTAAGAAGATGGCTGCCAAAGTCAAAGCTGCGCTTGATGAAGGCCGGATTGAGGATGAATTGAAGGATGTGCGAATGGAGAAGGTCATAAGTCTGTCCACAAAACAGGCAATGATAGCAAGGGTATGTTGCTTTTTTAGTCAAACATGTTCATCTGACGCAACCAATTCAACAGCCGCCGCCTGTTCTTGTCCTGCACATCAATCGTTCCATGCACTTTGCGCATTACGCATCTAAAAACAACATCTGTGTCATATTTCCTGAAGTTCTTGATCTCACGCAATTTACCACCTCAGGCAATCTCTCCACCGTACCAACCTCCTCACTTTCTACTCCTCCCCCTCACCCGAAACGCTCAACAACGCCTACCCCCGAGCCCCGCGACTCCTCATCCCGCACGATATACCGACTATCTGCAGTCGTGTGTCACTTTGGGCAACATTCATTTGGTCATTACATTTGCTATCGTCGGAAACCTAAGAATAGTTCAGGCAAGTTAGAGGACAAGTGGCGTCCGCCAAGGCTCGTTATAGAGTTGTTAGATGAAGCTATTGCACCAAGTCCGATCAAGCGAGAGCCCGATGTTGACGAAGTTCGGATTGAGGGAGAGGATGAAGGGTTCGAAGAATATATCTGGGACGATGCAGACCCATCTACCGCCGCCGGAACAGGTAAAGGGTGGCTTCGAGTTTCGGACGATGCCGTGACGGAGGTCGGCATTGAGAGTGTGTTACAGGAAGGGTCGGGAGCGTTCATGCTCTACTACGAGCGTGCAGTTATCTCAGGTATTGTACATGCTGGCTTGGCGCACGGCGGTGGTTCTCCGTATCCACAAGCCATGTGCATGAACATGACCAATGGCCATGCAATAAACGGCAGCTCTAAGCTAATGGAAAATGGTTACCCTGTTGGCGTCGGTGTCGGTGTTGGCACTCCTCTCAACTCGGAAGAGACACTCAAACCGCAGCGGACGATGACAATGATGATGAACGGGAATGGGAGTATTGGGTCGCTGGTTAGTGTGGACGAGAAAGGCCGAGAGCGAGATATGATGTCCTGGTCATCCATGTCGGCAAGTGGCTCTCCGCCTGTGGTTGGTCCGAGAGTAGTGAGAAGCGTCGCTGCAGGGAGGAGAAGAAGTCGTAGTGCTGCACCAGGGACGTCAGAAAAAACTTCTCCGCCAATGTCTCTGACGCCTTACGCTTCCTCGTCGTCATCAATGTTATCTCCAACGAGTCCAACGTATCTCTCGCTTGCATCTTCTCAGCCTATCGCTGTCCCTAACAACAAAGCAAGGTCAAAAGCGGAAGATACGGACGGGTTCGATGAGGTTGATTTGGGTAGGGACGACGACGATGATACATCTTCTTCGCTATCTACCAACAGCAATCGGCCGAACATCAATCACGTCAATGGCTATAGCACTCACAATTACTACAACTCCCCTGGTTCCCTCAACTCATCTTTGTCATCGCTTTCTTCTTCCGCACCCGCTCTCATAGCGAAAGTTCGGAATCACCCGATGTCCATGTCGAATACGTCTATTGCATCGATGACATCGATAGAAAGTACGACAAGCACCGGGTCTTCTGCGGTGTCCGTTCCGAATTCCTCTGTGTCGACGACGTCAACGGGATCTGCCGGATCTACTGGGTCTACGGGGTCAGGGAGGAGAGGGAGAGGGAGATCGGTGCATAAGCCTGGAGGACCAAAAGGCCGTTCACCGCATTCGATGCATCCGCCGTTACAGTCTTCGCCTATGGTTGGGTTGAAAGCATAGAACCGGCACGGATTTTCTCGCTGCTTTTTGCATAGATTTTGGTACGGTAAGAGGAAGGTAGAGTCTATACACCAAGACTTGTCTATCTGTTTGTCTGTCGTCCTCCCTATTTTTCGCCTATTATTTACTCTACTATTGCTATCGTTATTTCCCTTTGACGTTATTTCTTTCCTCCGTATCCAAATACATGCAGTAGCGTTTGTTCATCTGTATGCGTCCGTACTGTTTCTTGAAGCTTCAACCCCCACTCACATATTTTGTGTTAAATTTTGCATTGTATCTCTAGAGTCTCGTAGCATTTTCTTGTTTAGCTTTGCCGGTTAATGAGAATCCCAAGTTCAATGATGTCATTCATCCTCCACCTTGCCTTTTGACTACGATGAGCAAAGTCAGTAGTACATTGGTTTTGTGTTTTTTCATCTGGATAGTTTAACCTGTCCCAAGTTCATGAAGAAAATCCAATCGAAATTTGAGAAGGTATTGGATAAGGGAGAAGCTCCTGCGCGTCCGGACTCTCTCTCAGGTATCAACTTGCTTCCGCTCGCTCAACCACCCAGCTCTCGCCATGTATATCGCTTCCGCAAACAGCATGGCGTTAACCTCGGATCTTGGTTTACATTAGAGAACTGGTTAACACCTAGTCTTTTCCAGCATGCTGCTGAACCCAGGTCAAGCGAGATGGACGTGCTCCGAGGTTTGGGACCACAACACGCGAAATCCATGCTCGAAAATCACTGGACGCATTTCATCGATGAGGGAGACTGGAACTGGTTGGTCGAGCATGGGATCAACACCGTTCGGATCCCTGTCTCGTATTATCACTTTCTACCAGGCCATCATGATCCAGAAGTCCGTCAATTGATGCAAGGTACAGAATACGAATCGTTCGCAAACGTATATGTCAATGCGTGGAAATACATCGTTTCCAATGCTATCCAGGCTGCCCATGAGCATCAGATTGGTGTACTCATTGACCTCCATGCCGCTCCTGGAGCTCAGAACACCGATAGTCACTCTGGTTTGAGTGGCGGAAAAGCTGGCTTGTGGGACTCGAAGGAATATCAAAGACGGACTGTGCAGATTCTTGTAGCAATGGCCAAGGAGATCGGGAAGTATGATAATGTTGTCGGGCTGGAGTTGCTCAACGAACCGAAAAATAACAATCGGTTAATGAGCTGGTATGATGAGGCTATTGAAGCTATTCATAACGGACTAGGGCCCCAGGCTCAGGAGCTTCCGATTTACATTTCTGATGCTTGGGATACAAATTGGTACTGTGAGTTGCAAAATTTAGTATGTATGGTATCTTCATTCACCGACTCGCGATTCAGCAAAATTCGTTAATAATCACTCAAATCCTGAATCATTCCTGGTTTTGGATCACCATTTGTACAGGTGTTTTACGACTCAAGATCAAGGGAAATCTGCTTCTCAGCACGCCGGAGAGGTCCATCCGTCTAACAACGGTCCGTCCGCGTCAATGTTAGCTAATGCGTCCAAAGAAACGCAAGGGTCTATCATCATTGGCGAATGGAGCGCGGCACTTAACCCTGCTTCGCTTTCTTCGTATTCAGATCATGAATCAAAGCTTGCGGCTCAGCGTGAGTGGGGTCATGCGCAGTGGGAAGCCTATGAACAATGGTGCGCAGGTTGGTTCTTCTGGACCCTGAAGAAAGAGGGTGGATCAGATCGCGGGTGGTGCTATTATACTGCTGTTGAGCAGGGTGTTCTGCCGGCACAGGTAGATAGGCTCAAAGCTGCGTTTGTCAGCGGGAGACATTCGGATGATTCGCTGAGAGAAAGAGGTCAGATGGAGAAGCAGAGTGCGACGCAGGCGCATGTTGAATGGTGGAATCAACATTCGTCAAACCCAAACGAGTTCGAGCATTGGCGTTTCGGAGAAGGTTTCAATCAAGGTGATTACTCTCTGATGATTTCCCGGACGATTATGATTCATTTGTCATCTTAGGATGGGAAGATAGTATGGCATTCTTCTTTGCAAGTGGAGTACTGTGCGGGTCGGTAATTGGATTTCTGGGTCAGTGGAAACGATTGAGAACAGGGGCGCATCGAAGAGAGAGAGGAGACAGCAAGATGGTTTGGGAGTTTGAACACGGTTTTGAGCAAGCAATTAAGAAATTTCAAGGATCGGTAATGTAGTGATGCAGGTGTACACAGTACTTGAAATTACGAGTCGGCAAAAGCAAAAGATGTAAGCAAAAAAAATAAAAGTAAATGACCACCGCAGGACTCGAACCTGCAACCTTTTGGTAGAAGAGGCAATCGAAGCCAAACGCGCTACCATTGCGCCAGGTAGCCAGATGAAGAAGCTCAATCAATTTTATGTATTATGTATATCTAAATTTTAGTATCAGTGAACCGATAATTCAAACGCGCACGTGATTCCAAGCAACGCGAGAACGCGCTTTAGCTTTGCCTTTCACTTGTTGTCCTTCATCATATGTACATTATCTGGTTCTCTTAAATGGCTAATGCTGCGCTGCCTCGTCACTCGTCAAATCCCCTAGACTGTGGCTCATCTGATAACGCAGCATCAAGACTCAAGAACATATCTTTATTCACGAACTCCCGAATTTCACAGTCTTCTGATGATCCACTATCACTAGGCGGTCCAGACGCCCAGATGCGGAAATTCGTTGAACACCTGGAAGGCGTTCATCCGGCTGCAGCGGCCTCCATGAAGAAACAGGCTTATGGTCACGGTCCGTTAAAATCGAGGAAGACTGCCACAAATTTCGTAGATTTGGATGATGAGGAAGCTGGTTCCGACGAGCTGGGGCTGCGTGAATGGGGTAGGCCTAGGCAGAATAAAAGACGGAAGACAGAGACGGACGATAATCGAGAGGAAGAGAAAGAAGTAGTAGCAGAAATCGAGGGGCTCCCTTTGGATGAAGAGGATGGAGCGGTATCGGGGAGCGACTCCGATGACGAAGAGAACAGTTTATCAAGGAAATCGCCTGAAGAACGAGAAGAGATCGTAACGGAGATGAACGACCTTGAAGAGGCAGTACCCCAATTATCGACCGATTACAAACTGCTGGACCGACTCGGAACGGGGACCTTTTCATCCGTATACAAAGCCTTTGATCTTCACTATCACGACAAATGGTTCAATGTGCCATGGCACGGTCATCATCATACTTCATCCTCTGCCTACTTTCAGTCTGCTCCACGGCCGCCAGGGTCTAAAGTTTACGTCGCTATAAAGCGGATCTATGTCACCAGTAGCCCAGAGAGAATTCGGAATGAGATCGCAATTCTGGACGAATGCAGATCATGTCGACACGTATCACAATTGATCACAGCATTCAGGCAGCAGGACCAGGTGGTTGTGGTCATGCCATACCAGAAGAATGATGACTTTCGGGTGTGTGTAGCTCATGATCCTATCATTTCATTGACTTGTATCAATCGTGCTATTGCTAGGACTATTTCGCCGCGTTACCGATGGAGGGTATAAAGGCATACATGCGATGTCTGTTCCGCGCTCTTCGTGATATCCACTCTCGTCGCATCATCCATCGCGATGTAAAACCGGCAAACTTTCTCTTTGATCCTCGGACAGGGATTGGAACGTTGTGCGATTTTGGACTCGCTTGCGTAGGTCTTACTGGTTTCATTCTGGAATGATTCTCGACAACTTCCTATAGCGCATGAACTATGACTCTGGGCAAAATCTCTGTCTGCACACTCCGCCCACAGCGGAACATCCGCACGGAATGTCGAAGAACAGAAGAGAGTACGATGTTAACCACTACAAACAAATGAATAGGGAAGCCAAGGCCAAGTCCATGAGACCCTCGGAAGAGGTTGGATACCTGGACAAGGATCCAAGGTTCATAATCTTTTCGCGCCATTCTGAAAAAGAATGAAACTCATTTGTTTCGTAGGCCACACTCGAAAGCAAACCGTGCCGGTACACGAGGGTTCCGTCCGCCCGAGGTTCTGTTGAAGTGCGGGGACCAGACCGGAGGTAAGGCAGAACAAACAACTTGAAGGATTTTTTTTACTGAATCATCCCTTTTGTAGCCGTGGATGTTTGGGCTGCAGGAATGATACTTCTCTTCTTCCTTACTAAGAAGTTTCCTTTGTTTCAGTCCAACGATGACATAGAAGCGTTGATGGAAATCGCGACAATCATCGGAAGAAGGAACATGGAGCAAACTGCGTGTATGCATAGTAAGAACGCGTCTCTGTTTCTCCCTCTTCTGGATCGAGCGCGTGACCTATCTATGAATTACAGGTCGAACGTTTTCTTCTAATGTACCTTCTATTACGCCTGAGGGAATACTATGGTCAGATTTTGTAACAAGGCAGAATCCTGATCTCTATTCGGTCCCAGAGCCCGACGTACGGTTTTACCCATACACCAAACAATTGAAGGAGCAGGCTCAACGTCAGATCCAAGAGCTCCATATACATGAGCGAACCCCGTATCACGAAGGCGAGCACAACGATGTTTCGCGACACGACAGTTATCGCCTCACACCAGCCCCTTCTTCATCTCCGAGCCATCTCAGTATCAACACGAAATTCGCCAATCCTTCTTCTGCATCGTCTCTAGTCTTCCCTTCATCGCCACCGAAATCTGTAGAATCTGGAGAATTGTCTCCTCTGACTCCCATTGAAGACGAAGAAGAGGAGTTTGACAAATCCCCAAGTGTATCACTCTTACTGAGAGGTCCATCACAAAAGCAACACGACGAGGACGTCAACGCTGCTCTCGACCTAGTTGAGGGACTCCTTCAGCCTCTGTGCACCAAACGACTTACGCCTCGAAGCGCTTTATATCATCCCTTCTTACATCCCACCGGCAATCGTGGCAATCGGCAACGGGAAGCAGATCCAATGGTGGACGAAGACACAGATATGGGTTTCGGTGCCGACGAGGACTTGGATGAAGATGTGGAACCCGAAGATGATGAGTTTTTTCCTCATCCGTTTGGCGAAGGTGTGTGCAGAAGGTGGCATTTCCGAGATGAGGTCGGAGTGCCGTATGTGAAGATATACGCACAGGGAGAAGACTCTGCGTATTTCGAGAGCGGTGGTGCTAAAAGGAGAAAAACCGTCTATCGTAGTCTTACCAGCGGGGAGGGTATCGCTATAGGGAAGCAGCCTTGTGAGTTCCATAGGGTTGGTTATGAGTTGGACATGCCAGGGACTTGAGGTAGTAACTTCAGTCTCCAATGTTTTAATTAAATAGATGTATGTGCCTGTTTCTCCCTGATAGCGTTGTATAAATATAATCATACGGTGATCAAAATGGAGGTTAGTACTATCAGTCTATGGCCCGTGTGGATAATTACATGTATCTACTGTATCAGTCGGAATGCGGAGGAGTTCCTAACAGTTTGAGCAGTCCGATATGCCCTCCGATGGCAGCCCATAAATTATCTTTCTGTGATTTTTGTTTCTCAATCAGTAAATATATGCTGATAGTAATCGTCAAGACATACAATCTCATACTTCACACCATACTCCTTGGCAGTCTGACGCACAATTTTTGCGACTGCTGGAAGGTGTTCCTGAGCGATATATGGGAAAAGATGATGAACCACCTGAAAGTATTTATGAGCAGGTTATCCCAAGGAATCTCAGACTCAAATACCTGGTAGTTTAGAGAGCCGGAAAAGAAAGTGGTGAGTGGTTGATCATGACCATAATCCTGTGCCGTTTCGACTTGTAGGCGGGCCCAGTCTACGTCGATGTTTCCGGTCTCAGAATTCACCTGAGGGAATGCCGCAATATCAACAACATGTGTAGCCTGAAAAATTAATGCAAGAATAATGGACAATGTGAAACTGAGAATGGAGGATGAGAGTGATAGACAAGGTTCAGAGGGTGCTGAAGGCTCACTCTGCCACAAAGAACGCCGAAATAACTCGTGAAAGAGGAACACCCCAGAATAATGGTAGAAAGATGCGAGTCATGAGGAAGAACAGCTATGAGAAGAAGTTCAAACTCTGTTTAGTGTGTAAGGAGCAAATAAAACAGAAATTATCACCTTGCCACCCCAAAATATGATGTTTTGCTGAAAGGTGAATGGGTTCACTTTCAACGGGCCTCGGCGCTATGAGTGCATACAGTTTTTCAACCAGGAAAGACTTTGAAATGTGAAGACTTACACTAGTAAAATAGTAAAGCAGATCCTCAATACGGACAGTGCAACCAAGGAGAACATAGAGAAGTGGAGAGTAGATAGACTGAAGCTGATAAAAACAGAAGTACTTCTGAGATTCCTTGATGCGTCGAAATTCAACTTCAGATGTGTCGATATCGGCATCGAAACCATCAACATTTGTGAAGATGTGGTGACTCATGACATGTTGATAAGTCCTAGAAATAGTTCGAACAGTTTGTATAGATGGATGCGAAGGCCACATACCATAAGGTACTAGAAGTTCCAACAAAGAAATCATGGCCCATCAGAAGGAGTTTCCAAAGTGCTGGGTTACGACCAATGGCACCATGAGAACCATCATGTACGGCAGTTAGACAGTACTGAGATAACGCAGTGCCATGAGCAACAGAAACAAGGTAGAACACCCAGAAAGAGTTGAGAGGTAGAAGCCATTGCAACCCATACAATATCCATATGCCAAGTGCGGTGAGAAAATATCTGCGACGTGTTCCGGGCGATTGTTTGGGATCTGCTTTCAATAACCGAAAATGATCGTTAACACGTCTCTTGAGTGTCAAAGAGAAATTATCTGGAGGTGGAAAAGAGGGCACATCCTGTCCAGCTAGTAACCCCATCCGAAATATTTGCAGGTTATGATGCTGTTTCTGTCCGTGATATGCTTCGAATATCTTTGTCACCTAAATAGACCAAATTGGAAAATATTGAACGGCAAACACATCATTGAAACGCACATCTTTTCCAGCGGCCAATAATATAAAATCCTGTCCCCCTGGGTGTTGATGAATGAACTTGGTCAAGTCATACACCTGAATCATAACATCAACTAACAAAATACACCGTCAATTTGAGTTTGAGTCACGTACGGTCCCACCAATCGAGACCCAAGCCTTGTTGTGAGTGCACGCCTTTCTTAACTCCTTCAGGGGAATCAAAGCGAGCCCGGACTCAGAAGCGCATTCCAATGGCACACCAGGATGGGCCAAACCATTTGGAGCTTTCATGACTTACTTCGGAGAGTGAACTCGGATGGGTCAACTCTTCACGATGGAGGGGTAAGTCTTGATTCGTGGGAGACGAGACGTATTAATACTAATTGAACTGAATTTCGATCAATCGAAGGCATGGAGGCCGACTCAAAGCATACTTACATCCGCAT